AAGGAAAATTTAAGAATAATAAAAAACGTTGTGGTTTATAGGGGTTAAGTTACAAGAACTTTTATTTTCGATAATAAAAGTATTACCTCTTGAATTATTGAGGAAATCATCGTCTAGGATTATTCAACTGTTCACAACAGTGACTTCTCAAGTGTAACCAGCAAAGTTTGACAACTTATGACTGTTGATGAAAAGGGATTTGTTAAGTGAAAAGGAGCCAATGAAACAGCGACAACTTGTTCATGCCAAAACGATTACCAAATAGTCACCAGTATAGATTATTGTAACACAGACGTCCTTTGTCTGTTGAAATTTATGACCGAAGCAGAAGTTGGAAGAGAAAAGCTTCCCTGTGGATGAACAATTTTTGTTTAGATTTGCGTCTTAGTCACTATACATTTCTCCTGAGGGTCAACTTTTTTATACAAGAGTTGTAAAACGAAAGTCCGCAAAAGGGATAAATCTCTGTTAGGTAAGTATCTGCTTCGTTTTAAGTTATATATCAAATACGAGAAGGGTTCCATTTACTGCTCAGAGACTTTAGGGTGACCGAAAAATAGGCGCAGTGGAAAAGAAAAGAGGCACAGTCAAGTTCTATATTCCTCGTGATATAAGGATATCTGCTAAAGTACCTTATCAGGCTGTTTTCAAATGATTGAAAAAGTCTTGAACAGACTGAAGCATAAGTTCGCAAAATGTTATATTAGTTAGCCTGTAAACTTCTTATACGGCGGAATATATTATTGGTAGTCTTTACACTAGAGCCTGAATAAGCTAAGAAATATTTCGAGAGAAGTAAATTTTACTGCGCTTTTCACAAACATGCGAACCCTAAAGTTCAAAAGACGCCACAAGCAACGACCCTTGAAACACAGAAACACACAAAACAGGTCGAAATCCACCAATCACAAATCACAAACCATGACCTTTTGAACCCGTTAAAGTACAGTTTTGTTTCCTAAGAGGTCCGTTAAGATGATTGACGGCAGCGAAAAACGCAATCGTTGGTTGGCTTTTGAACTTCAGAATTCGCATGTTTGTGTAAAGCGCAGTAACTACTTCAAGTAAAATAAAGCTTCACACACAACCAAATCTTTTTACTTCAGGTTAACATAAGGCTATTTTCCCACGCAGCATAATTAAGATTGATTGACATGTTTCGCCTTTCTCAAAGTTCAAGAAACCGCAAGTCAGCTAAGTCGGTCATAAGGATGGTTTTCAAGTCGCTTGAAACTTTCTTGAATCGTTTCAACTTTCCGACTTTAAGGAGATGTAAAGTAAAGTTACTTGAGATTTTACTTAGGCCTCCACACACGAATTTTTAGTTAAGTAAAACTTAGCTGCTCTTAAGTCTTACTTAACAGCCTAGTGTAAAGACAACCATTATCTAAAATAAATTCACACAAGTCTTAATTACATTATTGAATGAGGACTATTTCTCCACGGACTATTATATGTAAAACTGATAAAATTATTGCTTATTAAATGGATTCTTCTTTCATCCACGTTACATCCACTGTTAGTGTATTGTAAATATGTTTCTTTGACCAGGGCTCTGCTATTTGCTGGTGGTGACAATTACCCACAGTCAATCCTATAGTAAAAAGCCCTGATCTGCAGTTAGGTAAGTCAAGGTAAGGCTACTGGTTAGTCGGGTACGTAATATTGATCTTGGCGAAGGGGGTTATTTCAACCGCCTGCTTTAGGTCTTGCACATTTCAAGTACATA